CAAAATAGACTCATACATATATAGGCAACTGATTTTTAATAAAGTTGCAAAGGCGATTCAGTGGAGAAAATATCTTTTCAGCAAGTGATGGGAGACCAATTGGATGTCTACATGAAAAAAAACTTTGATCTATATTTTGCACTTTATCGAAAAGTTAACTCAATTGAATCATAGATCTAAGTGGGAAACCTGAAACTATTAAACTTTAGAAGATAACTTAAACCGAACGTTTGTGATTTTTGATTAGGCAAAGGTTTTATAGATATGGCACTGAAAACACAAATTGAACAAAAGTACAAATTGAAATTTGGAGTTAATCAAAATTTCAAACTTTTGCACTTTTATAATTTTTTTTTGAGACAGGGTCACACTCTGTCACCCAGGCTAGGGTGCAGTGGCACAATCATGTCTCACTGCAGCCTCAACCTCCCGGGCTCAAGCGATCCTCCCACCTCAGCCTCCGAAGTAGCTGGGACTTACACGTGTGTGTGTGTGTGTGTGTACACTTACAGTGTACAAAATCACTTTTTAATTTTTTTTTTTTGTAGAGACAAGATCTTGTTATATTGCCCAGGCTGGTAGTACATTGAAGAAATATAACATTTACAAATGTATGCACTCTGAACAACCAAACCTCAAAATACATGAAAAAACTGATGAAATTGAAAGATTAAAATAGACAGTTCAACAATGGTTGGATATTTTGGTACCTAATTTCCAGTAGTAGGTAGATAACCAAACAGAAATCAGTGAGGAAATAGAAGATTTGAGCAACATTATCAAACTATGTGACCTAACTGACATTTTCAGAACACTTCATTCAACATCACAGAATACACATATTTTCAAGTGCACATGGAGCATTCTCTGAGATAAACCCTATGCTTCCTAAAGCTAAAGTAACCAAGATAGTGTGGTGGTAGAGTTAAGATAAATAGATTACGGGAACAGAATAGAGTCCAAAATAGACTCATACATATATAGGCAACTGATTTTTAATAAAGTTGCAAAGGCGATTCAGTGGAGAAAATATCTTTTCAGCAAGTGATGGGAGACCAATTGGATGTCTACATGAAAAAAAACTTTGATCTATATTTTGCACTTTATCGAAAAGTTAACTCAATTGAATCATAGATCTAAGTGGGAAACCTGAAACTATTAAACTTTAGAAGATAACTTAAACCGAACGTTTGTGATTTTTGATTAGGCAAAGGTTTTATAGATATGGCACTGAAAACACAAATTGAACAAAAGTACAAATTGAAATTTGGAGTTAATCAAAATTTCAAACTTTTGCACTTTTATAATTTTTTTTTGAGACAGGGTCACACTCTGTCACCCAGGCTAGGGTGCAGTGGCACAATCATGTCTCACTGCAGCCTCAACCTCCCGGGCTCACGCGATCCTCCCACCTCAGCCTCCGAAGTAGCTGGGACTTACACGTGTGTGTGTGTGTGTGTGTGTACACTTACAGTGTACAAAATCACTTTTTAATTTTTTTTTTTGTAGAGACAAGATCTTGTTATATTGCCCAGGCTGGTCTTAAATCCCTAGGCTCAAGTGATCCTCCTGCCTCAGCCTCCCAGAATGCTGGGATTACAGGCATGACCCCCCATGCCTGGCCTTTTGCACTTTTTTTTTTTTTTTAATAATGAAACTGAGTCTTGCTGTGTCTCCCAGGTTGGAGCACAGTGGTATGATCTTGACTTATTGCAACCTCCACCTCCCGAATTCAAGTAATTCTCCTGCCTCAGCCACCTAAGTAGCTGGGATTACAGGCACGCATTACCATGCCTGGCTAATTTTTGTATTTTTAGTAGAGACGGGCTTTCACCATGTTGGCCAGGCTGGTCTCGAACTCCTGACCTCAAGCAATCCAGCTTGCCTCTGCCTCCCAAAGTCCTGGGATTACAGGCATAAACCACCGTGCCTGGCCCCTTTTTTCTCTCTTAAAGACACTGTTAGGAGAATAAAAAGAAATGCAGGCCAGGTACAGTAGTTCATGCCTGTAATCCCACAACTTTGCGAGGCCGAGGCGGGTGGATCACTTGAGGTCAGGAGTTTGAGACCAGCCTGGCTAAGGTGGTGAAAACCGTGTCTCTACTAAAAATACAAAAATTAGCCAGGCTTGGTGGCATGCACCTGTAATCCCAGCTACTTGGGAGGCTGAGGAGGAGAATTGCTTGAACCTAGCAGGTGGAGGTTGCAGTGAGCCGAGATCGTGCCATTGCACCCCAGCTGGTTGAAAGAGCAAGTCTCCCTCTCAAAAAAAAAAAAAAAAAAGCAACAGATAGGTAGAACTTTGCTAAACATACATCCGATGAAAGAATTATATCCAGAATATATGAAGAACTCTAAACACCATAAGAAAACAACTCAAAACAATGGCAAAAATTTTGAACTGACATTTCACTAAACAAAATATGCTAGTGACAATTAAGTACTTGCAAAAATTCTCAACATCCTTATTCATTAGGGAAACACAAATTAGAACCAAACGAGATACCACTACCCACCTTTTAACATGGCTAAAATGCTAAGTATCAGCAAGTTGCGTAGGAGCAGGAGTTTTCATACACTGCTCTACTGGTGGGAATGTAAATGGTGTAACAACTTTGGAAAAGAGTTTAGCAGGTTTGTTTTTTTGTTTTTTGTTTTTTGTTTTTTTGAGATGGAGTCTCGCTGTATCACCCAGGCTGGAGTTCAGTGGCACGATCTTGGCTCACTGCAACCTCCGCCTCCCGGGTTCAAGCGATTCTCCTGCCTCAGCCTCCTGAGTAGCTGGGACTACAGGCGCCCGCCACCATGCTGGGCTAATTTTTGTATTTGTAGTAGAGACGGGGTTTCACCATGTTTGCCAGGATGGTCTCAATCTCCTGACCTCGTGATCCACCCACCTCCGCCTCCCAAAGTGCTGGAATTACAGGCGTGAGTCATCGTGCCCAGCCTAGCAGTTTCTTAAAAAGTTAAATATATAACTACCATATGACCCAGCATTCTACTCCTAGGTGTTTATCCAAGAGAAATGTCCACAAAAAGATGTACACAAATATCCATAACTGTTATTTGTAATTACCCCCAAATGGAAACAACCCACACATCTATCAAAAGGCAAATGGATAACTATGGTAATCCACACAGTGGAATAATAGCAGTAAAAATGAATAAACTATTGATGCAAGCCTTAACATGGATGAATCTCAATTATGTACAGTGAAAAGAGCCAGACATTGTATGATTCTATTTATATGAAACACTCTGAAAAGGCAGACTTTCAGACATAGAAAGTTAAGTGATTGCTTCAAGCTGGGGATGGGAACAGAGATTGATTGCAAAGACTTGAGGGATTTGGGGATTATTTGAAATGTTCTAAAACTACATTCGGTTGATGATGTATAACATTAACAATTTCTGGTCGGTGCAGTGGCTCATGCCTGTAATCTCAACACTTTGGGAGGCTGAGGCAGGCAGATCACCTGAGGTCAGGAGTTTGAGACCAGCCTGGCTAACATGGTGAACCCGTGTCTCTGCTAAAAATACAAAATTAGCCGGGCCTGGTGGTGCGTGCCTATAATCTCAGCTACTTGGGAGGCTGAGGCAGGAGAATCAATTAAACCTGAGAGGCAGAGGTTGCAGTGAGCTGAGATCGCGCCATTGCACTCCAGCCTGGGTAACAAGAGCAAAACTCTCTCAAAAAAAAAAAAAAAAAAATCCCAAAAATTAATTTCTAAAACAAAGTAACAAAATCCACATTGAATCAGGGTGGGGGTCAGAGTAGTTTCTTCTTGGGGGCTGGATGCCACTGAATAGAACTTATAGGGCAGAGTTTCTGCCCTGGCCAGGTGCTATGACTGAGGTTAGCAAGAGGCCATCAGAGGCCACCCACATGCTGTGGCTCTCTGCTAGTAAGAGTCAGAGCCCCCTGGGAGGGAGTTGAGCATTTGCGTGGTAAATTGTACTGAAATTCCTGATGCCCCTGAAAGTTATGCTCAGTGAGCTTCATGGAAGTTTGCTTAGTCTGTAAGTTCTGCTGGTGTTTTTGTTTTGTTTTTAAAGTGATGATCCAGGGCCCTATTGATTTTATCTGTCAGATATTGAGAGCTCATCTGGTTTGCATCATATTAGAATACAGATTTGTTGAGTGAATTGGATAAAAATCCAAAATATCACCTTGGTTAGAAGAACGTCTAAGGGGAAAACAATACAAATCGTTCCAAATGACAGGCTTTAAATGTGCTTTCTCCTCTAGGCAATCCTGGAGAACAACCTCCCTTCTGAAATGGCTAGCAAGATCAACCTTGTGGACCTAGCAGGCAGGTAATTAGGATTTCAAAGCTAAGGGGAATTACTCTAGTTCTTGCCTGTTTTACAGGGAATAAGCTCTTTCTTAAAAAGTTAAATATATAACTACTTTTATACATATAAAAATATGTAACTACTTTTATATTTTATAAAAATATATAAAACTCCAATCTTTTTCACATTTCAGTCATCCTGAGAATATTACAAAAGAAGCTCTTCGAATGCTAGGTCAAGAAGTTATTTTCTGGGGGCTGAAAAGTTCCTGTACATCAGGGATTCTCAATCTTGGTTGCACGTTAAATCAATCACCTGAGAACCTTTTCTTTTTTGAGACAGTCTTACTCTGTTGCCCAGGCTCCAGGCCGGAGTGCAGTGGTATGATCATGGCTCATTGTAACCCTGAACTACTTGGGCTCAAGTGACCCTCCTGCCTCAGCCTCTGGAGTAGCTGGGACTACAGGCACGTGACACCACATCTGGCTTTTCTTTTTTTTTTTTGGAGAGACAACATCTCATTATGTTGCCCAGACTGGCCTTGTACTCCTGGCCTTGGGTGATTTATCTGCCTCAGTCTCCCAAAGTGCTGGGATTACAAGCGTGAGCCACTGCACCTGGCCACCTGAGGACCTTTTAAAACTCCCCATATCTATACCTCAGATCAGATACATCAGATTATTGGTGGGAGTGCAAGCATCAGGAGATTGTTAAAGCTGCCCAGGTGATTCTAATGTATAGGAAAGATTAAAAAACCGCTGCTTTCGGTGAGGGTAACTGAATTAGTACACCTTTTCTCTTTGATTTACTATTGATTTTATTTTCTCTTTATTTAATATTGATTTCTATGCAGTTTTTTTTAAAATAAAAGTTTTAGGCTGGGCGCCGTGGCTCACGCCTGTAATCCCAGCACTTTGGGAGGCCAAGGCAGGTGGATCATGAGGTCAGGAGATCGAGACCATCCTGGCTAACACAGTGAAACCCCATCTCTACTAAAAATACAAAAAAAAATTAGCCGGGCGAGGTGGTGGGCGCCTGTAGTCCCAGGTACTCGGAAGGCTGAGGCGGGAGAATGGCGTGAACCCGGGAGGCGGAGCTTGCAGGGAGCCGAGATCGCACCACTGCACTCCAGCCTGAGCACAGAGTGAGACTCCGTCTCAAAAAAAAAAAAAAAAGTTGGTGGTGCACATCTATAGTCCCAGCTATTCAGGAAGCTGAGGTGGGAGGTTCACTTGAGCCCAGGAGTTTGAGGCCAGCCTGGGCAACATAACAACATAGCTCAACCCCATCTCTAAAGAAAAGAAGTTTTAAAAATCTTGAAAGGTTGAGACAATACTGCCTTGTAGGTATTAGAAGGGAGCATGAATTATAATTACATATGTATTTAGAAAGAGTTAGTCTTGAGGGGGATAATGTGATCACAAGAAAGTGTAAGGTGAAATAAGGCAAATTTTCTTATTTTAAAACAGATAATTAATATGGTACAGTATTCCTTTAAGAGCTGAGTGCTGTTTGACAGAAACTATTAGCCAATTGGAAGTGTGAATTTAGTATTTCCTTAATATTAATATTTCCTTTAATATTAACTTAAAAAAATTCAAAACTGTTGTCAGCTAAAGACACAAATCCCATAAAGCTATAAATACATGAATTTAAAACAATAAAGATAGAGAAGTGAATATACCAAAAAGTCATGCTAATATCATAATTGTAAATGAGCATTACATTTAGCATAAAGTGTTCTGACAATCAAAAACAGAAACCTAAAGAGTTATTCAATTTTTATTGCCTGAGAAGCAGAAAAAGTCCCGTTCATTACAAGATGGTAACATTTTTTTCTGGAACTGAATTCTGAAAGGAATTTATTATGTGAGTCTTTTGCAGCATGATATACAGAATAATGGATAGTATTTTTCAACAATATTTTAAAGATAATGTCTTTTTTGCTTTTGTTTTTGTTTCTCATTGACTGTGTTTTAGTGAAAGAGCAGACCCCAGTTACTGTAAGGACCGCATTACTGAAGGAGCCAATATCAACAAGTCCCTTGTGACTCTGGGAATTGTCATCTCCACCTTAGGTATTTTGCTGATAGATACTAGGACTGGGAGGGAGACTTTGGAAAGTAACTCATGTTTTCATGTTGTCACAATAGGGTAGACACAGGGTTCCTTTTGGTAAGGTCACCTTCTGGTTTGGGGCAATAAAAATTGATATTTGTCCTTGGTTTTAGAGTAGAATGCTATCTTACTACCATCAGTTCTAAAAGAGGGGAGTCTAAAAAAATTATGTGGCTCAAACATTTCGTATCCTAAGTCTGAAGTCTTTAGGAATCCCTAAAATACCCTGTTGTATGCAGAAAGGGATTAGGAAATATGATGGTTAAGTCTGTGTTCTCCAACCATTGTTTTGTTTTAATATATTTGCTTCATAATTCCTTCTTTCTTCCATTTTCTTTTTTCGTCTTTTAAGCCCAGAACTCCCAAGTTTTCAGCAGCTGCCAGAGCCTCAACAGCTCAGTCAGCAATGGTGGTGACAGTGGAATCCTTAGCTCTCCTTCTGGGACCAGCAGTGGAGGGGCACCCTCCCGAAGGCAGTCTTATATCCCATACCGAGACTCTGTGTTGACCTGGCTGCTGAAGGACAGCCTTGGAGGCAACTCTAAAACCATCATGGTTGCCAGTGAGTGGGATGCCAGAGCTGGATCTGTGTTGGGACTGGTACTGTATCTCAGAGAAAGGGCCATGGCCACCCAGGTTTCTCATTTTATCAGGGGTCTTATACAGCATGGGCAGTAGTATCGAGGCAAGTGAATAAGGGCTGGGATGGATGGGCTGGCATGTTTTTAAACTTTCTCCTTCTACCTCAGCGGTGTCTCCTGCACACACTAGCTACAGTGAGACCATGAGCACACTGAGATATGCATCCAGTGCCAAAAATATTATCAACAAGCCACGAGTAAATGAGGTGAGACCTTTTCAGAAGTCCTGGTCTGGTATAGTTTACACAAAGCTCTCATTTTTTTGTTCTCTTGTTGATTTCTTTCTCTTTGTACTCCCCTCAACTTTCCAGACTTGTCCTCCAAATGATGAGGGAGTAGAATTCTTTCTTGTACTGTCATCTCCTTCTCTCCTATCTCTATTGCCCTTCATTCAGTAACCTTTTATGAATAACTTATTTTAGATACTTCTCTAAGGCCATTCCTCTTAAGATTCCTTAGTTTACCATTACCGCTCTAAGAAAGGTCATTTATTTTTTATTTTATTATTTTATTTTTAGAGACAGGGTCTCACTCTGTCACCCAGGCTGGAGTGCACTGGTGCAATAATGGCTCACTCTAAGAAAGTTCACTTAAAAATTTGTGCTTACTGCTTTTATTTTGAATTTTTGTTGATTCATTCCTGTGTTTTTGTATTTGTTTGCCTGTTTTGAGAAGGGATCTTGCTTTGTTGCCCAGGCTGGAGTGCAGTGGCACTATTGTGGCTCACTGCAGCTTCAACCTCCAGGGCTTAAGCGATCCTCCCACCTTAGCCTCCTGAGTAGCTGGGACCACAGGTGCATGCCACCACATTAGGCTAATTTTTTTAAAAAGTTTTTGTAGAAACAAGGTCCCACAATATTGCCCAGGCTGGTCTCGAACTCCTGGACTCAAATGATCCTCCCACCTCAGCCTCCCAAAGTGCTGGGGTTACAGGTGTGGGCCAAGGTGCCCAGTCTTATGCCTGTGTTTTTTTATGCAAGTTGTCTGTGTTTCATTTTTCTCTTTGCAAATTGCAGTGACTTCTCTGTTTAGGTATTAAAAGGAGAGTGTAGGAATTCACTGGTTTTTGTTTATCGTTTAATGTTTTTTCTCTCTATTGTTTTTCTCCTCTGCCCACACAAAACCATTCATTGGTTTTTCAAAGCTAAATGAGAATTTTTCAAATGTTCCTTCACAATTTCAGTGAGAAGTTCCAGAGCAGGGATCATAGGTGGTGGCCAGACACACACTACATATATATGTATGTATACATATATATACATACACACATATATACATATATGTATATATACACACATATATACATATATGTATATATACACACATATATAACCCATATGTAGACTGTTTTAAAAAGGCAGTGTAATTAGGCAGTATTAGGCTTAGTCACAATACAGGAAGGTTAGCACCTACTACCTATATATGCCCTAGCTTTTGTGTTACCTGCTTGACCTCTCGGGAAGTGAGTCTGAAACTTTAGTGTGTATCAGAATCACCTGGAGGGTTAGAACACTGCTGGGCCCCAGTCCTTCAGAGTTTCTGATTTAGTAGGTCTGGGGTGGGCCAAAGTGTACATTTCTAACAAGTTCTTAGGTGAAATGGATGCTGCAGGTCCTGGGACCACAACTTGAGAATGATTGACCGCTGTACAGCCTACTCCAAAGGAGTAATCTACCTCTTCCAAGCCAATTGCAAATAGCATTTCACAGCTGAGTGGGACTTGATAACAATCAGTGGTGATGGAGTTCTCTGTGTTTCAGGATGCAAACGTAAAGCTGATTAGAGAACTCAGAGAAGAGATTGAAAGACTGAAAGCCCTGCTGCTGAGCTTTGAACTGGTATGCAGACAGTCAGAATCTTTCCATACTTAAGTGAAATTCTCCTTCTGAGCCTCTCTTCTTCTCCATAGAGTCTGGGCCCTGCTGCATTCCATGTTCTCAGTTGACTCTGGTGAGGCAGAGACAGGAGCAAAGACAAAACAGAGATTTATCTGATTTCTTGGTGTAGCTTCAGGGGGTGTGGGCATTTTTTCACTTTGTCATCTCTTGTCTTGTGCCTGAATGGTCCTTGCCCTGTGTAGGCAGGTACGGAGAATGGGGCCCTCTAGGAAAATTTATTTTTATTTTCCATCTTTGTACCAATATGAGCCCAAATACATAGGTTCCTGATTTATTTCTCATTTTAATGATAAAGTCTTTCCTTTATCTGCACCGTATCTTCCTTCACAAGTGTAAGAGTGGGACCTACCTGAAGTTCAGACCAGGAAAATATCAAAGCACATCTCTATCTTTGTGCAGAGAAACTTCGGTTCATTGAATGATGAAAAGGATGAAAACCTGAAGGAGCTGGTTCTCCAAAATGAGTTGAAGGTGGGTGTGTTGGGTGGACTCAGTAGTGCTTTACATCACCCTGGGAGCTCCCTCCATTATTCCTGAGCTAGGTAGGGTTGCTCCCTTGGCAGGGCAGAGAAGAGCTGTCTAATTTGAAGACAATGTTTGTTTCCTTTAAGCCTTGACCAGGGGATGTGTTTGCCTAGGGGAGTGTTAATGGCTTTCTGACTTTCTGTATTGTTCTCTCAGGGATTCATAAGTCCTTTGGATAGTGAGAGTAGCCTGGGGGGAAAACACTGTTTTCTTGTCTGTAAATCAGTCAACCAAGATATATTCATTGTTTGAGGACCAAATAGGTTCTCAGCATGATGCTGCAAGAGGTACAGAGAGGTCCCTGTCCTCACATGGTTTGCAGTCTAGTTGGAAACACATTTAAAGAATGGTGTGTTTCATGAACCATGTGATTTAGATGAAAAGGATCTAGGGAAGGAAGAAATCATTATGGTTTGGGATTTTCAGAGCAGACATCATATGTTGGTGCTGGAAGGCAGAGAACTGACCTTGAACTAGCCCTGGAAGGTTTGCTAGGGTTGTTACATAGGGAGAAGGGGTAAGGCATTGGGTGAGGGAGGGATAACATAAGCAAAGCCTTGAAACTGGGAGAAGGAAGGGGTGTGAGAGGCCATGTGGAAGGACACACTGTGAGGAAGACTAAGCTGGTTAGAATGGGTGTTCATGGTAGAGGGTAGTGCAAGTAAGGTTATGGCAAGTTTAGAAGGTTTGAACTTGGTGTAAACAGGATTAATAGCTTTTTGAATCAGGTTGGTGACATAATAAAGGAGTATCTAATATGATAGTTGTATGCATGGTGAATTGAAAGGTGGGAAGACTGGAAGCAGAGGACCAACCAGGAAAGAGGCTACTGTAATCCAGTGAGGGCAAGGACAAGACATTTTGGAAAAGTAGATTAAATGGTGATTCCCAGAGACATTTTTTAAAATTAATTTTATTTTTTTTGAGAGGGAGTCTCACTGTGTCACCCAGGCTGGAGTGCAGTGGCATGATCTCAGCTCCGCCTTCCAGGTTCAAATGATTGTCCTGCCTAAGCCTCCCGAGTAGCTGGGACTACAGGTGTGCACCACCACACCCATGTAATTTTTGCATTTTTAGTAGAGACAGGGTTTCACCACGTTGGCCAGGCTGGTCTCGAACTCCTGACCTCAGGTAATCCACCTGCCTTGGCCTCCCAAAGTGCTGAGATTACAGTCATGAACCACTGCACCTGGCCCCCAGAGATATTTAAAAGGAAAAAATGGTGGGCTGTTGTTTTTGTTGACAGATTAGATTTATTTATTTTATTTATTTTATTTTATTTTTTTTGAGATGGAGTCTCACCCTGTCACCCAGGCTGGAGTGCAATGGTACAATCTCAGCTCACTGCAACCTCCGCCTCCCAGGTTCAAGCAATTCTCCTGCCTCAGCCTCCCGAGTAGCTGGGATTACAGGCTTACACCACCACACCCAGCTAATTTTTGTATGTTTAGTAGAGATGGGTTTTCACCATGTTGGACAGGCTGGTCTTGAACTCCTGACCTTGTGATCCGCCCACCTCAGCCTCCCAAAGTACTGGGATTACAGGCACGAGCCACCGCACCTGGCCTATTTTTTATTATTTTGGGATGGAGTTTCGCTCTTGTCATCCAGGCTGGAGTGCAGTGGTGTGATCTCGGCTCACTGTAACCTCCGCCTGCTGGATTCAAGCAATTCTCCAGCCTCAGCCTCCTGAGTTGCTGGGATTACAGGTGCCCACTGCCACGCCAGGCTAATTTTTTGTATTTTTAGTAGAGAAGGTGTTTCACCATGTTGGCCAGGCTGGTCTCAAACTCCTGATCTCAGGTGATCCACTCGCCTCAGCCTCCCAAAGTGCTGAGATTACAGGTGTGAGTCACCACACTCGGCAGATGGGTTAAATTTAAATCCTACAACCAAATGTTTCAATTTCTAATATTCTGTTGCATCTTCCTTATATGTCATTAAAGTATCCTGGCCACGTTAACATTTTGTCACCCTTACTAAACCTCAAGACTAAATAACACGTCTAGAAGTTTCTCTAAAAAATTCCTCCTTCAGTCATGTATTCTGATTTTTGGTTCAGAAAATATCATCCCTCTATACTAAGAGATGAAGTGGGGGAGCCGAAATCATTCCAAACTCATGAGCATACTTGCATTATGCAGGCCAGCTGAGCTGGACTTGAACCTTCCCCTTGTTGGCTGTATCATCTTAGGCAGTGTAGGAGTAGCTGATGAAAGCTAGCCAGAGGGGCAGCTGTGCCAGGTTGGCTGAACTGTAAGCCAGAGTGCCCTACCACTCACCAATGCCAGGGGTCCCTATCCAACCCAGCCCTTTACAGGTACCCTGTAGTTTCCTGGTTTCCAAACTTCAACTCAATGATTATTAAAATAATGTTTCTAGGGCACATAAAGTACTTGTACCTAAACCTGGCATAATTTTTTTTCTTTTTTGAGATGGAGTCTTGCTCTGTTGCCCAGGCTGGAGTGCAGTGGTGCCATCTCGGCTTACTGCAAGCTCCGCCTCACGGGTTCACGCCATTCTCCTGCCTCGGCTTCCCAAGTAGCTGGGACTACAGGCGCCCACGACCACGCCCAGCTAATTTTTTGTATTTTTAGTAGAGACGGGTTTCACTGTGTTAGCCAGGGTGGTCTCAATCTCCTGACCTCGTGATCCACCTGCCTTGGCCTCCCAACGTGCTGGGATTACAGGTGTGAGCCACCACACCCAGCCAACCTGGCATAATTTTTTTGTAAGTATTCCCTTTATGAGAGAAATACTTAGCTAATCTAATTTTTTATTTATTTATTTATTTTTTTCCTGAGCTTCCTCAGTTCTTCCATTCCCAGGATAAACTCATTGCTTAGGCATCAGTTTCCACTAAGAGAATAAAAAGGACCCTACATTTATCACTATGCATGTCCATAAGGTGGTCTTAGCTTAAGCCTGGGTATATTTACTTTTAAAACTCTGTTCCTGGTACACATTAAACACTCAGTATTTTACTGTTATTGTTTTTATTGTCTTATTACATGTTCTTCCAGACAATTTCCATATAGTCTTAGTTCCACCTGGGGAGATTCCTCTCAGTGCTTTGTGGTTCTGTGAGCCATGTGCAAGCTTATATGATAACTCAAAGTACTGTACTTTGGGAAAGAAGTGTATTAGGTCATAAAAGGATTCCCAAGTATGGATCATATAAAAGTGGGGTGGGGAAAGGGAAATTATAAACACAGATGTCTAACATCCCAATTAATTTTTAAAAAATAACTTGAAAATAACATGTTTTTTTCTAATTATAAAAACAATACATGTTCATTGCAGAAAACTTTAAAAATAACATTTATTGAGGGTCTTCTGTTTATACAAGTAACACTTGCTTATTGTAGAAAACTTGGAAAACACAGCTTGCAGTTGGAGGAGGTAAGGGCTTCTGTGGGACTTTGAATAGTATCCGTGAGGATCATAATAAAGTAGTACCCTGGGGAAATAGGAATAGATGTAATGACTTCTGACCTTTAGTCTGTTCCCCATGCTGAGTGTCTCAGATCACCTCCTATACCTCTGCAGATAGACCAGCTGACTAAAGACTGGACCCAGAAGTGGAATGATTGGCAGGCCCTCATGGAGCATTACAGTGTGGACATCAACAGGAGGAGGGCTGGGGTGGTCATTGACTCCAGCCTACCACACCTGATGGCTTTGGAGGATGATGTGCTCAGCACAGGTGTTGTGCTCTATCATCTCAAGGTGAGGAGGCTGGTGTATCCTTTTCTTCCTAAGCCACTGGCCCCAGAGGTCAAGTAGGGAAAAGCTAGGACTAGCAGCCATGTTTCTGTGGATTGAAATCAAGACAGATGCCACAGAGCTGCCTTCAGGTTTGTTCTCAGGAAACTGGTCTACCTGACAAATTGTGATCTGTTTTGCCTTTGTATGTATAGAGCAGAAGACTGGAAATCAGAATAATTGTTTTTCATCTGCAGCTACTGTTGTTCTTATGTAACTTACTTTTGTTCTCTTTGCCTTAATTTTCTCATTTTAAAGTAAGAATGATGCTTATCATATTCCTTTTCTGGCTTACTGAAGCATAGGGGTATAGTCATGGAGAGTGAAACCCTAACCTCAAGATACCATTAGTGCTCCTAAACTCTACAAATACAGACTGCTCAAAGGTGGCTTTCAGGCTGGGTGTGGTGGCTCACACCTGTAATCCCAGCACTTTGGGAGGCCAAGGCAGGCGGATCACTTGAGGTCAGGAGTTCGAGACCAGCCTGGCCAACATGGCGAAACCCCACCTCTACTAAAAATACAAAAATTAGCCGGGCGTGGTGGTGGGTGCCTGTAATCCCAGCTACTCGGGAGGCTGAGGCAGGAGAATCACTTGAACCCAGGAGGCAGAGGTTGCAGTGAGCTGAGATCACGCCACTGCACTCCAGCCTGGATGACAAAGTAAGACTCTGTCTCAAAAATAAATAAAATAAATACAAATAATGTTTTAAAAAGGCGGCTTTCAGAGACTAAAGGGGGAATTCAGAAGATTTGAAAGTTTTCTTCTGACAGTTCCCCACTTCAACCCCAAATTAACAAACAGTACACCTCCCACTTCTCCATCACTACATTTACCTGAAAAAGGAGACAGAGAAAGTAGGTAAAGGAAGTTTAAAACATAGGGAGGGTCCAAAGAGCTAGAGTGGTGTGATGGTGGGGGAAGAGGGGATGACAGGCATCCATCTAGAAAAAGATTGAAGTGAAAGTTTCCAAACAGCACCTGGCCCACCTGGCTCTGTGTCACCTGGAGGCCAGTCCTCATATTCTGAGTGAAGTGGTTTTGAGAGTTAGAGGCCTATGGTAGAGAGTCTTTCGTCTTGTTCTCATCAGTGTGTTCTGTGGGAGGACAGTTCCTATGGACAGCAGAACGTACTTCACATGCTCAAAATCCCTGTGCTCACTGAAAAGCTAGTCTTCATTCTCATAATTATCCCCAGCTGACATTTAAAAAGAACAAAGAGAGTTTCTGGGGAGTATGTAATGCTGCTGTTATCCCTGGAGACACTGGACTCCTTCCTAGTGCTGCAGAGCATATGGAAGTGAGATGTTAGCAAAGCTCATCGGGGTTCTTAGGATAAACCCTTTGGGAAGTTGTCAGAGACTGAGCTTCTCAGACAGAAAATTTAAAGTAGCTTATTTTCTGGTACACGGGGCATAAATTTTCTTAGTGAAAGTGCCTGAGGCAGAAGTGACTGACAACTTTTACCTTAGCAAGAGAACTAAACACCAAATGGCTGTATAGATCCTCCCATTAGTCAGAACCACAGAGAGAGGTTGGAGGTCAGGAAGAGACCAGATTGATTAAAATGGTCAGTATCTGAGTAGAACTGATCTGATATATAGATTGGATATGGAGTGAATAGATGAAGCTAGAAATCAAGTAGTAGAGCTTAGGGTAGCAGCAGAGGGTTAAAGGACATGACTATTAGATTGAATCGTAGACATGGAGATGAACGATGACCTCATCTGAAGATAGGATTGCTGATTTTTTTTTTTTTTTTTTTTTTTTTTTT